CGTGCAGGGACGGGAAGACCGAGGCCGCGGACGCTCTCCCTGCTCCTGTCCTTGCCGGGCCGCCCGGGCCAGGGTGCACTTAGTGTGCGCGGTGAAATCGCGTTCGCTGGGGAGAGGGACGTGGCCCTTCAATGTGGAGATACTTCATCTGCTTCCCAAGAAATGACTTCTAGAAACAGAGCACCGCGAAGGTCCGTGTGGCTGATGTCCCTCCTGTGATGCTGAGGGCGCTACTCACCCGGGCTCGTTAGCAGCTGCGGTTATAATCTAGGTGTGAGTTTAGAGATATCCTGCCCTTGAAAATTTATCAGTGTATTTGTTAGCCCAGAAAAGAGGGAAAAAAACGTCTCTTCTAAGGTTCTTCCCCCCCCCGCCCACTTATAGAAATCAGTCACTGTTATTCTGTGCTTTTGTAGTGGTCTGGTTGCTGTCTGCTTTGCTCTGCCCTGTGTTGCTCTGCCTGGTTTTCTGTTTGTGGGTTGCGCTCCAAGCCTATAAGGAATATATATTGTTCCAATTCCTTCGGATAAATCATTATGGAATTAATGCTTTCACGTGAATAGCTGCGGTATTAATACTTATTTTGCTGCACTCCTTTAGAGCGTTTTCTTGTATCAAGTAGGAAGCTTCCTCTGACTCCTGAAAATGCAGTGCTTAGGTGGAAAATTAAGCAGTGACAAAGCATGTAGGGTTCTTCTGTTGTGATTCACTTATGTGCCTAATAGAAAAGTTAGGATGCTTTTAAACCCTGATCCATCTGTAACTGTTTTAATCTAAAATATCAAGAGCTTTAGATTTTTTTTTATACAATATTGTTTTATTCAGTATTAATAATACAGGTTTGTGGGAAAACTAACAGGTCTTATTCTCAATAGTGGTTTACACTTGAGAAACTATTTGTAAGTAAATATGACTACGTACTATAGGATCTGTGGGTATTTTTCTACAATGAGGACTGTACAAGTATTGTAACAGAATAAATAAACTGCAGATAATGAGAAATATTTCCCTGAAAAATACTGATACCATAGTTAGTGTTAGGATAGCTGGGGAGCAGTAGGGAAGCTGCGTGGTGATGCAGCCAGGTTTTAGGCCACATTGGGAGGTCATGGCGTGGGTTGGGTGTCCGGGCACAGCTGTGGCTGCCCTGCAGTTCAAGAAGGGCTGTGGGTGGGAGCAGCAATTTAAAAATCACCTCTGAGCAGGAGGAACCTGCTCAGCAGATCTGTTTGGGGGAAACCTCTTAGGCTTCTTGCAGCCTTTTCTCATGGAGCTCCAAGGCCGAGTGTTCTTGAGCTGCTCTCTCTTATCAGAGAGTTGGGCCTGCGAGAAGTGAGTTTCTGTGCTGGAGTATGTTCACTAGTAGAGCACTACATAGGGAGTTTACTGGGACCAGAGCTTTACTGATGAATATAGTGAATTGAAAAAGACTGCAAGTGATACTAAGTTATTAAGCATTAGAGTACCAAATCTGACTGTGAAGAACTGCAGAACAGCTTTGATTCTTTAACTGGATGATAAAATGGCAAGTGAAGCTTTATAGACTAATAAGGAAGGCACACTGGTCAGGAAAACAATTCTAACTGCATTTCTAGAATGAGCTGACTATGGTGTCTCAGTAATGAAATTTTAAGGATAAAATAAATGTTAGATACAGTGCTCAATGGTGGGGAAAAAAAGAATGGAAGAAAAAAAAAGAAGAAATTTAACAATGATCAGAAAAGGAACAGAAAATGAAAACATTATTATGCCCCTGAAAAAAATCATATGTCAATTTTGAATACTGTGGAAAGATTTGGTTCCTCTCACTGGCAAAATTAAAGAGGTAATAGATGTGGACCATGTGCAGTATTACATGGGTTATAAAGCTATGGAATAGCTTCCGTATAAACAGTAAGTAGACCAAGATCCTTCAGTCTGGAAAAGAAGGAATTGAGGGAGATAAGACAGATCTACAAGGTTGGGAGTGTCAGAGAAGGGAGCGAGCATTGTTGTCTGCTGCAGTACCAAAACAGGGAGGTATTAATAGAAAGTTTGTGTGACATATGCAAGCTTCAAGTAGCGCATAGTTAACCTGTCTTGTTTCAGCAACACCTTTGTGGTATAGATGAGGCCTGGAAGACTCAAAGAATTAAAGAATGGAAATTAATAGATGTTAGGAGCTCAGTCTTAATTTGAGGTAAAGTGGAATGAATTGGAGGCCCTGGAAGAAGGGGAGCAGTTGGTGATAGGGTATAATATGGGGATATCTTGTTTTGTACAGCAGTCCTTAGCAAACCCTGATAGAATGGGCACTGAATACTCCATAAGAAAAACAGACTATTTTGTGGTTTGGTCTAGGAATATGAAGGCAAAGTGAGGAGAGGATACCAGGAAAATCCCCAGTGGTGGTGGATGAGGACAGCTGTGGATAGTACCCCATCAATTTGGAGAGGTTGGTTTAAGATGTTTTGTTCCTGGCTATTGATCATCTCTGTTCTGTCAGCAGAGATGCAACATTACGGACTTATTTGGGCAAGAGCAGTTGAGTTTAAATAAACTTTTTAAATAAATGACTTGAAGTTCCTATGTTAACTTTGCCCTGATTAGAAGTACAACTTCCAGCTGGGGTTGTTATGGCTGAGATAGAGCTGATTTCTGTCCTTCTGTCCTTCCATCCTTCCTTGGAGCTGTAGCATATATTTTATTTTTTTAACCTCTTTTTGCTTCCTAGGTTAGGAGTAGAATCTGTGCGCAGACACTTACCAGGATGGGAAGGGAATTAGAGTTCACTTGGTGAGGTGATATATACCTTATGAAATAATGGGATAAAATAAGATAGTCTTCTAGTATTGATGGGGGATGCTACAACCAGCGTTGTAATGGTGTTGCTCTGGCTTTGAAGGCTAAGTTGTGTTTAAAATGGTGGGTTTATTTAATTATTCTCCTATAAGGGATAACCCGTGTGTGATATTTTGAGCAAATGAGTAATTTTTCTTCTGTTCTCAGTAAAATTGCCTGAAATTTTCAGACTTGAAAAGCTTCTTTAACACTGCAAACCTTCTGTTTGCAGTCTGTTCTGTCAGCTCAAGAACTGCATCTTACATCTTCCATTTGCTGTGAAAACTGTTTCATTGATTCTAAGTTTAGGGTAGTACTGTGTTTTTAAGGAGTACTCAACATTGCTTGCTTCTGAGTGACTAAACCGAGCTCTGAAAGAAAGTACCCAAAGGCTCTGTGTATATAGGTAACTTGTAATGGGGTGATTAGCTGCCTGAAGGATTCAGCACAGAATTTCCAAATTAGAGCAGAATAGGCCAGTTCCATCTGATCTTTCTTCACCTGTGAGAAATAAGGAACAGAGAAAGGGCTGAAGAAAGAAAGATGGGAATTATTGTTGGGGATCCTACGACAACTCTGGTGATTACAGACTGTTTTGACTTTCCTTCTCCTTGGATTCTTTCACAATAAGAAATACAAGTTTGTTTGCAAAAGTTTTATGATTGATTCAGAAGACAGGTCAGTTTACAGTCAGTGGCAGTCAAAGGAGTATGAAGAGTACTTATTTATGAAAAGTTAGACATGAAGAAAAAAGCAAGGAAAATGTTGCATATTCAGGTTACAGATTTCAATAGTCACAGAAGATGATTATGTATTTAATAACAATCTGGATATTAAATGGTTAAGTGATCATATACAAGAATATTGGGTATTACAGAAGTATACTTTAATGTTTGCATTTTGATTTTTATTCACAAATAAGAAAAACTGTATTACTGCAGTCTTTATACAAATTTAAATTTTACCATGCAAGTTAAATTCATAACTTTTATGAACTTACAGCTTTTTTCAGGGCATTTTTTGGGGAGATTTCAAAAGAGTTTGCAGGTATATAGCTATATACTGCTCAGTGGTAATTCCTTTCCATGTGGAAGATTTTAAGTGGATTGTTCACATCATCATGGGAGATCAGATCTTGAGCAGCTGTTGGACAAGTTGCTTTTCCTACAAATGGACTTAAACTTTACTGTGCAGGCACACCGGTGAAGACCGTGTAGCATACAAATACAAACTGCATCCTTCGTGCAGAGAAGGACACAGGGCCATGTGGACTACTTGGTGATTTGAATTTTCTACTTGCAGGGAGTGAAATCTGACAACGTGGATGACTCTTGTTTCCTCGGGCACTGTTTGGAAACAAGTTTCGAGGTAGTTTAGTCTGTGTGTGTGTGTGTGTGTATGATGAAACCGTCTCTAAAATCTCTACAGTTCCATCACAGATATAGAGACAGTTCTAGTCAGTAGGAAAAAAAAGAACTAATCACATGGTATAAAAAAGGTTGTGTGTCAAGTAATGTAGCTGATTGAGTACTAGGCTTTTGTGGGTGATTGAAGCTATGGGCAGAGTCACAGCTCAAATCCTGTACAACGAAAGCAGGTGTAATAACGATGCTCCATCGTTATTACTGCAGATTGCATGACTCTGGAATCAAATCTAGACTGTTATAAAAATTACAAAGTTTAGAGCTTAAATATAGTTTTAAAGAGAGCTTTTTTTTAATCAGTAGAATTGTTTTTTGCATCCCCTTTCTCTCTCAAGGGACAGGATAAGCCTTTGATGAAAGAATTAAAAAATAATGTAGAGGTTGGACACGTCCATTTGATCTGATTTAACGTTCCTACAGTTTACTTAAGGTAAGCGGAAGACAGGTGTGCACTCTCTCTCTCTTTATATATATTTATAAATAAAATATATATTTTGGGGGAGAGAAAGGTTAGTATTTCTTTGTAACATTTAAATATTCTTGAAATAAACTATACATAACACTTTTGTTGCAGTTAGGTATCCAGTAAACACTTAAGAGTTACCCTTTAAGTCAAGGGGAATAAATGTATGTGCAATGAAACACACTTGTATTAATTAATGTTCACTTGGGTGTTGACTATCACTGTAAATCTTCAGTCTGTCTGTAAAGTCACTCAAGTAATTCTATCTTCAGTCCTCTTAATGACTCATGTTAACTACAGAAACATGAATATTCTGATCATGCTTCTGTCCTGCTGTACGGCCAAATTTTTGGGGGGTTGCTTTTCCACTCAGTTATATCTGTCTTAAACCACCATGGCTCAGTGGAGAATCAAGACTGTTGCAACTATTCCATCAGTTTACAAGTAGCTTGCACGTACTAATTGGAAAATGGGGCCTCAGTTTGTGTGGGAAGAAAAGATGAGCTTCTGCAGTTCAGGTTAGTCCACCAGGTAGTACCCTATCATGCACTCTTAAAATAGCGGTATATGCCATTAATATTAACTGGTAGCTTCTAAATACAACTAGACTATTTTTGTCTTGATTAATGTTTGCTTAAAAGATGCCAGAAATGCAGTAAAATCGTCTGCAAAACAATCTGGGAAAATAAAAGATTTTTTTTTAAATGAGTTATCTATAATTTAGATTTAAATTGTAATATCCTACAATCCACTTAACCTAGGTGGCCTTTTCAAATGTTTCTTTTTAACACACAATTATGTTCTGTTGGCTTTTGGCCAAGTAAAATCAAAGCAGCTTGTTATTTTGATAATTCTGATATTTTCACGCAATTGCAAGCACTTAATGGGAAGATGTAAAGACAAAAAGGGGCAAGGTGTAATAAACATATATGGCAATTGCTGATGCAAAATATAGGCTTGCAAGCTACAGCTGAACACATACATTTTTTTCAATATGAGAAAACATGATGCGATGTGGTATTTGAAATAGGACTTTTTATATATTAACATATATAAAAAAGAGCTTGTTAAAGATTAACCTTTAAAAATAACCTTAAATTTTGAGAAGCAAGAAAAGTTTTTGTTGGGATGGAAACCCTATTTACCTAACTTTTTCATAAAGTAAACCTACTAGCCTAAACTGGTGGCTTTCCAACTGCCTTTGGTTGGATGTCCATACAACATATAGAAGTCTGCTGAAGACACAGTTGCTTTCTTAATTGCCTTTTGTCTGTGAATCCCTGAAAAAATGGCTGAAAATTCTGACTTAAAATCTGTCCTCAAAGACTGGCTGTTCTTTATTTATTTTATAGAAGAGGTTACAGCACCATCTAAAGGCAAAGAGAGGAATTTCAGAACATTTGTGCTATATTGTGGATTCAGGTCATATCCAGAATTATTTTAACATTTTAGCTTTATGCTTTATATTAAAAGATGAGGCACCCATATGATATGGCTTATTTACATCAAACACCTTATGCTTTTCTTTTCAGGGGCTTGAAGTAATTAGCCTAGGGAAAGTATTTCCTTGACAATAGAACTGTTTCTCCTCTCCTAAGGAAAACTAACATGCAAAGGGTAAGGTTACTAATTCAGTGGAATAACTTCATTGAAATTAAGCTGAATCTTGGTATGATAAATGCAGTGTATTTACTGTGCAATTCACAATAAATACTTAACATCTTTCAAGCTGCACTGAGTCCCAATCCTGTATTCTTGAATCAGAAAGAACTATCACTTAAATCAAGGGGAGTTCTATCTGAATGCTGGCTTTGATCTTAAAATAACTTGAAGGCTTTTTCTAAACCTGAAATTAAAAAGAAAATCTTCAAGCAAAATCAGGCTTAAGTTATTTCTTTGAGATTTTTTTATAACGAAACATATGATTCAAACCTAAAACACTTCCCCTGCTCCCCTTTTCTACAGACTCTTAAAGAATGACTTTTTTAATAATGAGTCTTAGCTACTGTGTCTTGAATGCAAGATTAAAATAAATAAGATAGCATAATACAGATAAACATGCTTCCAAGTCATATGCCCGTTGTGCAACAAAACCATTCTTTTTAAGATGAAACAAGATCATTAAAATTGTTTTTTTTTTTTTTTTATTTATATGCAGTTTAAGTTTTGGTGTTTTTCTAGGAGTTCCTTTACTAGTTTCTCTAAGGAGAAGAGATGTTCATCTACATCTTCTGGTACAAGATTTCTGATAGAATTAGCAAGTTCAAATAGATATTCTGTGTTTCTTCCACTAGGACCAACTGCATTAAATATCTGTTCAGCAATTTCTTCTAGAGGTGCTGGGCCAAGGTAATTAGGGTTATCGCAAGATCCGATATATAACAATACATCAAATGGTTTTATTGATGTGTCTTTTGGATAGAAAATGACAGTTGTAGTCCTGTAGCCTCCTTTCTCTCTGAAGTCCAGATACGCCTTTACTTCGCATTCTTGTCCAGCTGGCAATCTATAAGCAACACCCCACACACACCCCTGTTGATATAAGGAAAGAAAATCCAAGCAGGATTTTAGAAGATACTCACAAATTAATGTATTTCTATTTTATTTTGGTAAAACCATCTTAAAATTGCATTATATATATATATATATATATGTATTTTCTGTTTTCTGTCTTACCTATTTCTTATGTTGTTCAATGAAAGATTCTTCTTCCACAATAAGAACTTTTTATTTAGGAAATCTTCATTCAGACTAATAATTATGTGGCTTCCTCATGTATTTTGATGCTGGAAACATTTGATGCAGGAATTTTGAGGCAGGAAACATTTTTTTGCAATTAAGTTTGAAATAGTAAAAACACTTTGCTTGGGCTTCTAAAGACTATTGCCTAAAGTGATGATTGAAAGAATGCAATGTATTCTCTTGACCTCAAAAATTAGTGCAGTAAATATTAAAGGTGTAAACAGTGCCAAATTAAAAGTAAATTTAATCAGATCCTTTCTCTATTTCATTGCAGTTTTATTTCTCTTCTTTTACTTGTGTGAAGTGAATGCACTCTCAGTTGAACTCAAGGAGAAGAAAAAAGCTAGGAGATGAACCTTTATTTTGCAGAACTAAACTTGACATATCCAGCACCTCAGCAAATACTGTTAGTGTAAATTTCATTACCACTCCTTAAGAATTTGGATATTTCTTCATTGTCTTCACAGATAAAAGCTCTAAGAAAGTACTTATTTTGGGGGTGAATTAATTACATTGCCCTATATATATTATTTCTATCATACAGAAGGAAATCCATGAGATCTGTGTATGGACCTCTTTTAAAGTAACACAGAAGAATGTTGATCCGCTTTACTCATTAAAGTCAACAAAATTGTTTCTTACTAGTATATTATTTTAAAATGAAAGGTGTTTTTTTTCTGTCTATTGACAACACCAAATGTGGATTCCTCCAGCAATTAAGTTGGTGCATATATACCACTGCTGTATTAATGAAGACAGAGACTATCTATTGTCTTTCTTTCTAAAACTGGATTTTAGTATTTATCCATGACATAGGAACCCTCCTCACACAGATGGTCTTAAGTGCTGAATTTTGCAGTCAAGGCCATATGTTGGTCAATGGCATTTTATTTAAAAAAAAAAAATCAGAGAAGCTGTAGAAGTTCTTTTTTCTTGCCTCCTCTGTAGATGGCTACACTATTAGATGTACTGTGGTTAAGAACAGCACTGGGCAATACCAGATTCAGTTCTTTCCCTCAACTTTTATGTGCGGATCAACTTAAGCTGTCTATTAGTTTTTTGAAACAGTCCCTTTTGTGGGGACATACTTAGTGCTGACAGAAAAACATATAAAGCATGTTGGTGATGGGATTTCATAACCTTCATTTAAAGCAGATATGTACTGTTAGATCACTTGGGTTTTGAGTGTCGGAGGTTGGAGCATCATGTACAGAAATCTGACAAGGAGTATGTTCACCTTTTCCTATGTGGTTTCCCCTTAACTGACAATGAAATGGAAGAAGTTAAAAAATAATTCTCTGAACTAGTACAGGTTGGAAAAATCTGTGTATCACTGGTGAAAAATAATCTACTTCAAAAGGACTGATAGATCAGCATAGAGCTGAGGGCTGGCATTTGTCAAGTGAGAGAACCACTACTGTTGAAAGTATGCTTTTGGGGTGGAGAGGGAAGTAACAGTCTGTCAAGATGCCTTCAGAGTAAGGTTATATTTTTTATTTTTTAATGCAGAATGAGTAGCTGAAGTTAAAGCAAGTTACTTTTTTTTTTTCTCTCTCCTCTTTTTGCTTCTCTGTCCATACCAGTTTCTGGAGAAAAGGAAAAAAAGAAAAAAAGAAAGAAAGAAAGTAATAAAGCAAAACTAAACTGGTTTGCTAAGGGGAAAAAGGTTCCTATGGCAACGAGTAAGTCCGCTTAGCAATACAAACTGAGTGGCAACGAATATAACCATTCTTTGTTTATATAGGAGTCAGTGTAACATAATGGTGCCCTACAGTACAGTAATCTGAAAAAAAACCCACACCACTTACTAGAAAGGTACAGAAAATCACAATGAGAAACAGTGCACTGTGTTTTGCTGGTCTTGCTAACTGCAAAAACAGTTGAAGTTTACAGTTATCTCTACACTTACCTCTATTTGTTGCTGCTATTTCAGGGAAATGTCAGTGCTAAAAGTATTTTGCCTTGGCTAAGTAGAGATAACTTCAATACAATGTTGCATCACGCTTGAAGTCAACTTGTGGTAGTGGTGACTAATATATTGATAAGGCAGCATTTTATAAATGTGCAACAATAAATAAAAGCTACTCCCAAAAAGCCCATTTTGCTTAGCTAATGGTGTTGTGTTACATGTCCTTGCTCTACCTGTGCTTCCAGGCCACTCTTCCTGGCCTCCTATCTTCTCTGGAGGCTGCACTAGCTGCAGGGATCCACTTCCTTGAGGTGTGAGAAGCCTGATGGACATGGAAAGCACAGCTGCCCACAGCTGCACACGTGGGGTTGGATGTGTCCCTAGTGCCACCTTGGGCTGCACCTCTTGCTTATGGAAAGAATCCCCTGGGAACAGGCCCTCTTGCTCCCTCCCCAGACATCGGGGCTTACCTCACAGTATTAAGGAGAAATCAAAATCACACTTGGTGGCATTTATATTCTTAAGCATTTTGTTTATGTGGCCACACACCACTGCAGCATAATCTTGGTATGTTTCAATCTTTACTTTAGGCAGCCAAGGTTCTGATACAACTTCTGTCTAATACCAGGATATCTTCAGGCACTATATGCTGAAAGCAAAATTCGGCATCCTTTGTAACAGAATAGCAGCAGGGACTATACAGGAAAATGCTTCAAAACATACATTTGGTAATAATTGACCCAAACTACTTTCAGTTGCTTAATTTAGACTGATTTATTTTGAAGAGTCAGGGATCACTGGTATTAATCCAGGAAATTTTGGGAGAACGTTTGATAAATGTAACTCAATTTGCTATAGGAGAAGCAAAAAAAAAATGGAGACTATGTATGCAAGTTGGGATGCACTAGGAAGTTGTGTGCACTCTAGAGTAAATACTATAAACAAACCAGCAGTACTGTACCTCAGGGTCTTCAACAAGGGTCACAACTCTTCCAGGCTAGAATTAAAAGGAATACCCTTATTCAGTTAGAAGCTTTCACTGGAAATCATCAGCATCAAAGAAACACTAAAGCAATGAAAGTAATAAAAGCGACAGTCAACTAAGCCAGGAGGGTCTCAAGAAAGTGCAAATCTTTGGATGATTGAGGCATGGTTTGTGTATTTTTTTTAAGAAAGAGTTTCGTGTGTATTAGATTAATAGAAGTGATGATAAAATATTCTGTTTTGAATGGAAAATGTCTGCAACACAAGTTAATTTCAAGTGTAGTGATAAATGGGGAAATTTGAGTATCCTTGCTATGTAGGTGCTATTCAGATTCACTTCATTTTCCATTTAAAAAGCTGGCAATAATTCACGATTACAGAACTATCCTCTATGCACCCTCCTCAGCCACCTTGCTTCTCCTCAGTTGCGCTGCTGTTTTTCATCTCTAGAAGCATAATGATGTATGTAAGATAATAAATATAAAAATGTATGGAAATATTATGGATTTATATACATTAAGCTTTTTACATGCATACAAAAGTATCATTCGTGGTCATAGGAAGTAATGTAACATGTAGAAGTCTGTTTTGTCTGCAAGCTAGCAAAATATTAGCACTTATGGCTTAATTCATGCTAATTAAGTATAATAATGTCAGTTACATGCTATGATGCTTGGCAATTCCTAATCTTATGAGCATTTAGCTAGTTAGCTGTTTCTGAAAACACAGGGCAAAATCTGCTAGTGACTTTTTTAATATGAAGCAGCTCTTCCCTACTTTCTTGTTAAGTATCCTTAGTTCTGATAGTAGGACAAATAACTAATCTTTGTTGTCTGCTCTGAGATGGAGTGTCTGGTATCCCGCACAATATTCAAGGCACAGGTGCACCATTGGCTCATGTGCTATTCACTCCCCTCCTAATCATTAATTTCCTAATGATTCACCTATGTGTGTTTTTGTTTGCTTGTTTTTCTCCTTGCAAGGGTATTTTTTTCTCAGAAAACTATCTATAATGACCCAGTTGTTTCCTGGTTATGACAGGTAATACCCAACCTTTTGTTGTGTATACCCACTAATGGTTATTCCCACAAGGCTGTGAGCAGAAAATTTGTCTGTCATTTTATTGTCTGTCAGTATGCAATTTTTCAGTGAGTCCTAGACTGAGATATGCTGAGTAATTCTGTGTTTTCAACATATTTGTTACCTCAATTTCTCCTTATGTTCCTGGTAACTTTCAAGTATGTTGCTCCTTCAACTGTAAAAGCAGATCACTTGATCCTAAATCTTGTGTTTGATCTTTAATTGTGTTTAATTCCTTTTTCCCCCATGGAAATTTTTTCTCTCCCCCCCCTCCCCAAACCTTACTGAAAACATTTTAAAATCCAATCTGTTATCTTGATGGGATTATCCTTGGATTATTTTTGACTCCTAAACAATTTTTTAAATAGATTTGTAAGGCTTCTGCAAGAAACCATATTCTGCTTGAAATGAGTTACTTCCTCTAGATTTGCAAGTGATGTGTACTTCATTGGCAGCACTGGGATTAAAACACACAAACAAACAACAAAACCTTTTTTTCAGAGGACTGCATTGCCCATACCATTAAGAGTCCTAGGAGGACTCACCATATGCCACAGTGCAAATCCATAAACATATCAGCTCAATTTTCCACATAGCTTTTTTTTTTTTTTCCTTGACTATTAATACTTCTGTAACTTGTATGCTCAATACTGGTCATTGGGGTTTTGTAAATTATAGATTAAAGAGATGTTCTGTGGTAGGAAAACACTTTCTCTCTATTTCTGTTTCCAGAAATACCTTCCTTGAAAGCCTGAATGTTAAATGAAAGAGTAAGTACTGTACAGATATCATATGTGATGAAAGAACAATCTGTCTGTTTATCTAAGGAAGGAGGGGTTTTATAGAGTCTGTCTTGCATGAAATTACCCAAATTAAACAGCATTAAGGAACCTTGGGCATTGCCTTTGGTAGCTGAGTAAGAAAGTAACAACTCTATAAACTGTTGATTTTATAATTTAAACCCAAACCATCTTTATTGTGCCCAGAGAGTTCTGACAAAGGCAAAGTTGAAAGATCTAAATCAGATGCCTTTGACTAAAGGATTTGCTTGACTTTGTTCTGGCATTCTGCTGCCAGGAAGGCCCAAAAATGCAGCTCTGCAAGAACCACACTAAAACAAAGCTGAAGGTTTGGGGCCTCTCAAAAGATCTTCCTAAGCATTTATAGCTCTTGCCACTATCACCTCTCTGAATCAAAAGGGAAGTTGCTGGGGAAAATTAATCACATCTTCCTTTAGCTCTGTATTTCAATGCAGGGCCTCAGTCGTCCTATACTCTAGAGGCCCCCAGATGTATTCCTGTGTTAACTATGTGTGGCAGGAGGCATTAACCACCACTGTGAAGTCTGCAGCAACAGAAGCAGTATTTACTCGCTGGCTCAGATATTTGTCGGAGAAGACGAGCACTAGTGCATGAAAGTAAGAGGAAGGATGATTTAAGATCCTGAATCACTTTGGCACCTCCTGCAGTCCTTTCCACAATCATTTATCTGCAACGTTTTGGAGGCAACCAGGTGCCAATTTATGACTCTTACAGATTTTTACCAATCTAGATTAAGTACAACAGGAGAATAGCATTAGCATGTTGTAGCGTTTATGCTAGAGGCTGTAACAATCCTCCTGGTGAGGAGGGTTTGTTGAGTTACACTGAGATAATGTTCCCTGGGACCCCATCTTCATGGTTAAACAGCTGAGGTGTCCTCTATAAACTGACAAAGGCCTCCCACTGCTAGGCTGCTCTCAGTGGTTCTGTACCACTGCTCAGATGCTGAAATAACTGAACACCTACCAAAAGAAGAATCAATTAGTTTCAGCATCTGGGCATGAAAATAAACTAGAATGAAAAGAAATGTTTACTTAAAAATAACTTCAACTTGATTACCTCAAAACCTTTCTCTAAAAGGGAGTTCAAAGTATGCTAATAAATGGGATTGCAGTAGTTTAAAATGGTTTCCTTAAAAGCATAAGCTTACTTAAACAAAAAGTAGCTTTTTATACTTCCTTCTCCTGTGGCTCACTCTGATCTAACAGTAGCCTGTCTGTTTTTTCCACTCACTGCACTACTGACAGCCCTTCAGCACGAAGAACCTGTCAGAGTAAATGATTATATAGAACCAAGGCCAGCTGATGAATGCTAAAAGTTGGCCTGGAAGACAGACCTAAATTGGGAGGATATCTTTCTATTGTGATATTGGGTAATACTTTCAGTGTCTGATGAACATTTGAAAAATGATACCTATTGAAAATATGCTTTATACTAGGCAAGGCAGTTATGCCTACAAAGTAGAAGGGCTTTAACATGAGATTGAGATCGTCCTACACAAATCCAGACATTTTACCATTTGGCCACAGTGTATTGATCGGCCTGCGTTTCCCTGGCATGGTGTGTGTATCTAGCTGATTTATCTCATATGTGAAAATTCTGTATGAATTAAGGGCCTGACTTCCTCAACATTGTGTATTAAAACATTAAAAAAGAACATTGTGTGATTTAATATACAATTAATGTCATTTTAACTTCACATTTGAAGTTACAATGCATTTTTTCCTCCTTTCTAAGAAGTAATTCAGTGTTTATTTTGCCATACACGTAAGATGCCAGGAGTCAGAGTGCAGAGGTAATTTCTGAAGGGTGGCATTCCTAGCATTTCCTTTCTGAAGAACAGGAAGTGGAGAAATACAGACGATCTTTAATGTGTTTAATTCCTTTTTCCCCCATGGAAACTTTTTCTCTCCCCCCCTCCCCAAACCTTACTGAAAACATTTTAAAATCCAATCTGTTATCTTGATGGGATTATCCTTGGATTATTTTTGACTCCTAAACAATTTTTTAAATGGATTTGTAAGGCTTCTGCAAGAAACCATATTCTGCTTGAAATGAGTTACTTCCTCTAGATTTGCAAGTGATGTGTACTTCATTGGCAGCACTGGGATTAAAACACACAAACAAACAACAAAACCTTTTTTTCAGAGGACTGCATTGCCCATACCATTAAGAGTCCTAGGAGGACTCACCATATGCCACAGTGCAAATCCATAAACATATCAGCTCAATTTTCCACATAGCTTTTTTTTTTTTTTCCTTGACTATTAATACTTCTGTAACTTGTATGCTCAATACTGGTCATTGGGGTTTTCTCTCTATTTCTCTTCCTTCCTTGAAATACCTTCCTTGAAAGCCTGAATGTTAAATGAAAGAGTAAGTACTGTACAGATATCATATGTGATGAAAGAACAATCTGTCTGTTTATCTAAGGAAGGAGGGGTTTTATAGAGTCTGTCTTGCATGAAATTACCCAAATTAAACAGCATTAAGGAACCTTGGGCATTGCCTTTGGTAGCTGAGTAAGAAAGTAACAACTCTATAAACTGTTGATTTTATAATTTAAACCCAAACCATCTTTATTGTGCCCAGAGAGTTCTGACAAAGGCAAAGTTGAAAGATCTAAATCAGATGCCTTTGACTAAAGGATTTGCTTGACTTTGTTCTGGCATTCTGCTGCCAGGAAGGCTCAAAAATGCAGCTCTGCAAGGACCACACTAAAACAAAGCTGAAGGTTTGGGGCCTCTCAAAAGATCTTCCTAAGCATTTATAGCTCTTGCCACTATCACCTCTCTGAATCAAAAGGGAAGTTGCTGGGGAAAATTAATCACATCTTCCTTTAGCTCTGTATTTCAATGCAGGGCCTCAGTCGTCCTATACTCTAGAGGCCCCCAGATGTATTCCTGTGTTAACTATGTGTGGCAGGAGGCATTAACCACCACTGTGAAGTCTGCAGCAACAGAAGCAGTATTTACTCGCTGGCTCAGATATTTGTCGGAGAAGACGAGCACTAGTGCATGAAAGTAAGAGGAAGGATGATTTAAGATCCTGAATCACTTTGGCACCTCCTGCAGTCCTTTCCACAATCATTTATCTGCAACGTTTTGGAGGC